CTTTTTCTCTCATTTTAACGTTTTTGTCAGACTGAAAAAGGACATTAAACAAGGGGTCCATTTTAGCTGCATTCATGGTAATGTAAGAATTGAATGAAATGCTACTCAACAGTATGTCAAGGATGACTTATTGATGATGTGGAAAGAGCACTCGCCCGAGAATAATAAATGGCAAATGAAAATTATAATTTCCTCGAAAAATAAATGGCTTAAAACTGCAGTTGTTACAATTTATTATAATTAAATGATTTTTACAGTTAAAATAAACAAACAGTTAATGTAATTTTAACTATTTAAAAGTGTTAAATTTTTAGCAACATTAATTTAAAAATACAATTTACAACAATGTAGATGTAATTTCCATCAAATAATAACGTTTTTATTAATTAAATTATAATAAATTATATTTATTCTTTTACTATAATATTATTTCTATAAGCATAGAGCAATGTTATAGTAGAAAGAAAATATATTTTAAAAAAGGCAAATTGATGCCGTTTTATTAAGAAAATTAACGCCTATAGAAACAGAGTTATATTCGTTTTAAACTTTTAAAGTAATTTTTTTTTTTTTATATTTGTTAACTCGAAAACAAAACGTATAGAAAAGAATTTCTTAAAGTGTAAAAATAGTTTTGAAATTCGATAAAAATCTTTAAATGCATAACAAAAATAGTTTATTCAATTTTTCCTATAATTTTCTAAACATTTTCATACTTTTTTTAACTCAGTTTCTTCGATCTGCAGTCTCTTCTTTTGCCTCTTATATTCCTTTACTCCAATGCTTTTTCCTTTCTTCCTGTTTGATCTTTTCCTTTCAATTTATTTCTTCTTATTTTCTCATTACATCTTCTTTTCACTTTATTTTTTCCCTCAAAAAAAATTTCGATTCTTTATTTTTTAATTTCATAAAATACTCGATTAAATTTTTAAAATATTTTATTTTTCTAAAACATTAATAAATTTCCTCCTTCTCTATTTTTTTTTAAATGGATAAAAATATCATTTTTAACTCAGTAAACGTATTAATTAATAGTATTTTATCTATTAGAATTTCGATTCTCAAGAATACTTCATTTAATTAACGTAATTAACGATTAAAGGCGAGTTTACTTTTTGTAAACTAACATTGATTCGGTTGCCAAATATTTCATTATCCAGAAACTCTCCACTTTAATTATAATTTGATGGATTGAGCTTTTCAAATCCTTATTAAAAATATAATCCGTTTAAAAATGATCAAATATATGAAACAACTATCGCTAGTTATTCATTTGTTAGATAGGAGTTTGAAGAGGAATTAAATTATCCTGTGTGTATCTTCGAGAATTTCATCGATCCTTATATTTTTTTTTTCCTTTTTATTATTATTTTTTTCTTTTAACTTTAACTTGGTCAACTTATTATATCCTAGGAAAGCAAATATTCGACTTTTTGTTTGTCTATAATTTATCGTCTTATTCTTTTCCCTTTTTTTCCTCCTCCTCCTCCTCCTTCTCCTCCTCCTCCTCCTTCTTCTTCTTTTTCCTTTATTGAATTTGTTTAACAAGATTTAACCACTGACAAAATAATTATTATTTTGTAAATAAATATATAAAATTTTTCGTATGATTTATATTTTTATGTCATTTTATCGTTTATAATTGGCTTAAAATTGCATTATTTGTATGTGAAATGCTTCTTCTATTTTAAGGAAGAGAAATGATAATTTCTTAAATGTTTATAATCATTTTAAGACATTTCTATTAAATTTTAATAAATTTTCTGTTACTAGAACGTATGAAATTTACGAAATTTTAGATAAATTCGTTTAAAAAATAATCGAGATAAGACATTTCGTTGTTAAAGTATCGAACTGGCTTTCCAATAGTTTTGAATGTATTTAATTTGTCATCAAAAATTAGGTCAGTTTAAAATGGCCAATTCGTGCTGTTTCGGTAGTAATGACGCGTAACAAATTTGCTAAGTGGTTCTCTTTCACTTCGATTTAAGATCAAAGTTTTAAAACTGAACACATTTATCAATAACTATTTAAAAGTTTTATGATAATAAAAAGTGCAAATTCAAAATTTTTTAATTAGATTTTAAAATTCTCTTAACGAATTTTACATTTGGGAACATTTAAATATTCAGAAATTTCGTTTAAAAGATAAAGTTTGATAAGAATTTTTCGTTTTATTCGCTTCATTTATTGTATATAGGGTATTAAAATATAAGTAAAAATGCTGGATAAGAATCTAACGATCCAATTCGAAATACCAAGATAGTGTCTTTCTTTCTAAAATATTGATGTGGTGAAAAGCGTTCCGGTTACATTCACTTATTTATACATATATTTAAAAGATTTAAAATGTTTTCAAAATTGTCAATTGATCAAGAATTTAATTTTAAAATTCTCCTTTTATTTTAGTTTTAAAATAAATTTAAATAAAGTAAAATATTTATTAATTAATTGTAAAATAGCTATAAAAATAACGTTTTTAAACGTACAAAATGTATGTTTATTGTGATGAAATGTTTAAAAATCTAACAACGAGTTGCGTAACTTTCCCGGAAATAAAGTTAAAATTGTGTGTGATTCCATTTATTCTGATATTTCGTTATAAAGAACTTTTTATATTATAAAATGACTTAATTTTGAAGATTTAGATAAGTTTTATAATAAAAAATAATTGTAAATGCTAATGAGTAAAATGTTCATAACTTCCGACCCCACTCGAGATATGATACACGATTCCCTATAACTTCTCATCCTCTCGACCTTTATCCATCAAAATTTAGTAATATCAAACCCTATAATACATAAACCACCCTGTAAAATTTCAAAAATTTTCGACACAAAACACAGGAGTTATTAAGTTTTAAAATAGATGAATAAAATCGTCTCCTCCATTAATATCCATACATAAAGAAATCGCCATACTTTTATACTCTGTTATATATAAAATCCGGAAAAGTAAAAATTATCCGTTAAAAATCATTAAAATTATTCATTTATAATCTTATAATTAAGAAAATATGATATATATTTGAGCTAATAAATAAGAAAGGCAACAGAGCGAATTAATTAGAGACATTAGTAGACTAACTCTATGATTAAATTATAGCATATGTTCTGCTATTATATATATTCGTGTAATTTGCAATTATGATTGATGTGTTTAGTAAATTATATCAAAAATCTTATCTAATTTTTAAATTTTCGAATAAAACACATTGTAAGTTTCATGTAAAATAAGACAATGAAGTCGAAAATACCATTTGTAAAGCAAAGACGGAAACTCGAGTTAACTTAATCCTTAGAGAAATACTGAATATATGCAAACAGAGACTTGAATTTACATTTGAATATATATTATGTTGTATTAGTTCGTTAACAGTCATCTAAACAATCGATGCAAATATACAAGCCATAGTTTAACTTTAAGTTTACTAATCATTCATTGTAAACTGATACGCTACATTAATTCCCTTTACTTTTTATAGTTTTTCAATGAACAAAAGTAAACTTTTAAACTCTTATTTACATTACATTTATTCAATTACCATTAAAAATACATCTAGAATTTTAATTTTTTATTGAATAAAAATTAAATTTACTAAAATCGTTACACTCGAATATATTTATTTTCGACTTTTATTAAGGTTAAATAGATTAATTTTTAGGGTTTAACCTATTGTAAAATTTATATTAACAATGTAATTATTACTCTAAATCATGAAATTAGATTAATTAAACTTAATATACAGTTAATTTTTAATTATTATTTGTTTTATTAATTATATTTTTTTTTTTTTAGTTCAGAGTTTTAATATTTTATTTTTATATTAGTATACTACTATTTGCTAGTAAATATAAATGTAATCAGGCTCACAATTGGGAGTATGAATGATGAGAGACGAGGTCCTACATATATAGGACGTCCACCCCCAAAATTTTTTAAGGATCAACCTGGATTCGAACCTAGATTTAATAACCTAATCGTCACATTTATTTCTGTATTCATTCTATCAATAATATATCAGGGAATGGGTATTTAGATGATGATTCTTGACTTCTACATCAATTATTTTATATATTTTATAAAGAAGTATTAAATTTTCACAGAATACTTCATTTAATTAACGTAATTAACGATTAAAGGCGAGTTTACTTTTTGTAAACTAACATTGATTCGGTTGCCAAATATTTCATTATCCAGAAACTCTCCACTTTAATTATAATTTGATGGATTGAGCTTTTCAAATCCTTATTAAAAATATAATCCGTTTAAAAATGATCAAATATATGAAACAACTATCGCTAGTTATTCATTTGTTAGATAGGAGTTTGAAGAGGAATTAAATTATCCTGTGTGTATCTTCGAGAATTTCATCGATCCTTATATTTTTTTTCNTTTTATTGATATTATACATTAAAGTAGTAATATATATATATATATATATATAAAGTAAATGATTTATGAATAATTATCGATGAATTATGGATTAAAATTTTGAAAATCTTTCTTTAATGCATTAAAATGTTCTTAAAAAATCAATTTATAACGTCATAAATATTCTTTTTTTGAAAAAAAAACGTAAAAAAGTATCTTGAGATGCGGCGTTGAATACTACGTACTGTACAAAGGTGAAAGAACTTTAACAATAATTTTTATTCTGGTAAAATAATTTGTTATTTTCATCTTTATACAAAGATATAAGGCTATGCACAATGATAAAAATAAGCTATTTTTCACATTAATAATAAGGAAATGTCCAATTAAAAATTATTTTTCTAAAAAGTTTTACGTAATGATGAAGATTATAGTGTAAATGGAAAATATCGGATAGTAAAATATAGTAAAATGTAACAAAAATTTTCGTGTTTATCTTATTTAAAGTAAGCATCACTCACCCGGATTCGTTCGATGTGAAATCAAACATTTTCTGACGCGTCATTACTCTTTTTTTACTTTTAAAGTTTGATATACTAAAAATGCTTTTTAAATATTTTTTTAGGTGCTTTATTCGAAAATGATGACGATATTTTGGAAAGAGCGTTTCGACACGCTGTAAGCAAAATAAACGAGGAAAGTCAAATTCTAACTCATACTAAATTGGAAGCTCATATTGAAAGAATAAAAAGACACGATAGTTTTCAAGCATCTCGCAAAGGTAAACTTTTAGAAATACATCTGTATATATGGAGAGAAGAATTTTGGGATACTCTTATAAACAAGAAAGAAATATGTATATTTTATCACTGAATATTCATATATATATACTCATTGACAAAAAAGTTACTCGCTAAGAAAGAAACGTGCCAACGTAATGACGATAGTAATAAGTGATTATAATATTATACCAAACGGGCAATTTCCCCTGAAAAAACGGTACAATATAAATGAATCTTTACTACCTTTTAGGCTTTCCTTTTGCCTAGATGCGTGCTGCGACATGGTGAGCCGTGGTGGCATGCAGGCATCGTACGCTATTCCGTGACAGATTTGTCCACAGATATTGTCATTTCAAGTCTATCATTTTTAGATAGTCAAAGAAGAAGTCCCGTCTGATTTCACAAATACTCAATGGACGACAAATCTGGAGACCAGACAAACAAAAAAAGTGTGGAAACGTGACTGAGACATTCCTGGAAAACCCCAGTTAAGTGCGACCGAGCATTATCTTATTGGAAAATGGCTCTTCGTGGCCTTGCAATGAAAGGCAACACGAGAACGCAGGATTTCTTAGACGTACAGTACAGCTGTATCGTTTCGCACTACTACTAGGGGTGACCGACTATCATACGAGAAGGTCCTCAGATAGTTACTGTTGAGCGGTGCACAGGCTCAAGAGTAAAGATGGAATTGAAGTGCTCACAAGTGAACCTTCACACTCTAACACGGTGTTTCTCCGTCTCTATCTATCTATCTATCCAGTGGCATCCTCTCTACAGAGGGTTGCATTTGATGAACTATTCCACTCCATGTTTCTCTATTCCAGGCTTCTCTTAAATCCTTTCCAGTCCAGTCTTTGATGTTATCTCTCCAAGTCTTTCGGGGTCTTCCTCTAGGTCTTGTCCCCTCCACCAGTCCCTCAATCACCGTTTTAGTAGTTGTCCTCCTGATCCTCTAGTCAAATGTCCAGCATATCGTACCTTTCTTTGTTGGATATTTATAAGCAACCTTCTCCTCAAGCCCAGCCTGTCCAAAACTTCCTCATTTGTTATTTTCTCCGTCCAACTTATTCTTTGCATCTTTCTCAAGCACCACATTTCAAATGAGTTAATTCTTTCCATCATTTCATGCGTAAGAGTCCATGCCTCACATCCGTATGTTAGTACACTCCAGATCATTGTCTTTAGGATCTTTATTTTCAGTTTTATGTTAAGGCCTCTGTTTGTTAATATATGATAAATCTGATAAAAGGCAGCTTTTGCTTTATTAATTCTGCTTTTAATTTCCATTTTACATCTATTATCACTTGTTCCATAAAAGTTTAATATTTGAAAAGGGAAAAAATACATTTTTTTTTTTTTTAAATGAGAAATGGAAAATCACGACATGACTCAAAATATTTTTTTATAGGACATGCACACAGTTAACATGGAACCATTTCAGAATGCAGGACCAAATATCACAGGGTTTCGTTTGATCGATGAAGACTCTTCTACCTACAAGGAATTACTCCAGGAGTGGAAACAGCATCCACTCTGGTACAATACAGAACCAGACATACAATTTTCTAAGGTTGGTTTTTCTTTTCTCTTCACTCCTTCGTTAAAATCCTCAAGTGCTTCTCGCATCATCCACTCACTGTAAATATTAAATAACAGTGGCGAAAGTCCGCATCCCTGCCTCACTCCTTTTTCCACCCTTATCCAGTTGGATTCTTCCTCGTCAATTTTTATTATTGCTTTCTGATTCTCCGTCTCTAAAAGAACTAGAATTCGTTACTGAAGACGAATAAGCTGCCAATCCCTGCTTCTCTGTCGTGACACCATTGCAAACGATTAGATAATTATCTCTGCTGGTAGTCTTGAGCCTACCGCCGTGTATGTGTATCATCACATATCCATTGTCCTTAACATATGCTCGCAGTTAGATCAGTACAGTCCAGATGGTGAGCAATTTGGCGAAACAATCTTCCTTCTTTCTTCGGCTCAATATGACCCTTTGTCAAACAGTTAACTGTGCTTAATGTACTGCTGTACAAATATGGCTGGGGTTCGAAGACCTCCAAAGAACAGATACAATGAAAATCTTGAACACAGCGAACCTATGCGAGTCTTTTTATAAGATATTGAGGTAAAGACTTTCAGACACTTCGGTGACATTATCTGGCATCTGCAATTGGAGTACAACTTTAATCATTTATATATATATATGAGACATAGCTGTATGCCAAATTTTGCAGTAATCTAACAAATTTACCTAGCGAATAACTTTTTGATCAATGAGAATATACTATTAATTAATATTTTTAAGAATGTTTATACTAATCTAAAAATTTGAAAAATTATTATTATACAAATATTAAACAAAGTTAATACGACGTTACGTAACGAAATTTAAAACAAAAGTTTTTTTTTTAATTTTACATGGAATATTTTTAAAAAGTTACATATTAAAATGATGGAAATGAAAAGATTTGTGTTATTTGTCTTGTCAAAATTATGTAAATTAAATTTATTTATATTAACATTTATGAAAAATATAGCAAACTGTTATGATTATCGATTGATAAACTTTTATTTTCACAAACTTTTATACATATTTTATATTTGCACGCAATTTTCTTCGAAGTCATTTCTTTGTTTGTATATTCCGTTTCTCAATTTTTATCCTGTTTATCATGTTCTAAATCGTATTTGTTTCAACTGAAAATTTTATTATTTTGATTTGGAAAATTTTCCTCTTGTTTTTTTTTTTTTTACTTTTGTGTGTGTTTGATTTAAGAATTACTTTTGTGAATTGTTACAACGTGTAAATATTTTCTTAAAATTATTACTACGATGTTAACATGTTAATTCCCTATATTAAAAAGTTTTACATGGAGGTTAACTTGGGTCCTTCAGTGGCAGAGTAGGTAAAACCAAAGAACACTGGTAGATGGTCACGGGTTGCATCTCACCAATGGGCTGCCCCGTGAAGTTTTCCGGGTTTTCTTCACGTGTGTAACATCTAAATAGGGGCCATTTTTCTATTTAAAAAAATCCGCTAGGAAAGAACCACCACCCCTTTTGGCAGATCGCCCATGTATTGCGTTGCCTTCCCCGTCAATCCAATTACTAATAACGGATTTAATTTATATAAAATAAACTTATGAACCAATTATAGATTAAATAAGTAATTTTTTGATTTAAAATGTATGCTATTAACTATTTATAAATTTCCAGTTTGTGAATTATTAAACCAAGGAATGGCTGCCATTTTCGGTCCTCAATCTAGTGAAAGCAGTTCAGCCATTCAATCCACATGCAGTGTACTGGAAGTCCCTCATATCCAGTACAGATGGGATTACAGATCTCCTAGGAACAACCAAACTGTCAATCTCTATCCTCATCCAGATGCCATCGGAGTGGCGTACAGAGACTTCATTTTAGAAAAGAACTGGAAAACTCTGGCAATTCTTTATGAAGATAGTGATGGTAATTTATCTAGTTTTTTTCTTCTTTATAATTCTGCTTTAAGACCTTTTTTTTCTTTTTTTCTTTCTTTCAATTTGAATGTAAATAGGATTTCTATGTCTTAAATGAATTCTTTTATGAATGAATGTTTTTAAAGTAAAAATACAATTCAGATAATAGAAAATCTTTTGTTTATTTACAAACTCAATGGATAATTTTATTTAATTGGATAATTTTACAAAGAAACAAAACTTAAAATACAAACAATAGTACATAAACCATTCATTTGAAGAATACTATGAACTAGATAGAAAAAAAAATGAGTCTTAGATTCTTTATTCCGATGAATACGTAATTTATATACTAATTTTTACGTTATATATGACATTTTTTTCCTCTATAATTATCTTTTATTGGACTTGAAATCGTTTGTTTTGCAATAAATGCTAAGGGAATCATTTAAAAAAATTTTTAAATATTCGTAAGTAATGGAGAAACACAAATTTTTGAGCATTCGCAATTCTTTCTTTAAACAATATAAGAAACACAAGATGGCATAGAGGAGTCAATTTTCTTTTATGTGTTCCTTCCTCGACTATTCCTTCATCTTAAGATGTGGTGTGTTGATTGCTTTGATCATATCATTCTCTGCTTTGACGATGTATATAAAATTGTTAAAATATCCTTCTGATATAGGTATAATTTAAAAACTAAGTTTTATATCCAATAGCCAAAGTATTGTAGATATAAATATACGTATAATTTAAATAACTGCATCAAATTACTACATAACATTAGCTAAACAGTATATGAATCTATTAAATTTATATCACTGCTTAATTATAATCTGCATACTTTGTTGATTTATTCTTTAAAAAAATTAATTTCTTATTTATTTTCTGCTCAGTTTAACTTGTCTACATTGTTTATTCATTTTTAATGCAATTTTGAAGCATTTAATACGGTTATAAATTAGCAAGAATAACTTTAATTATTAATTATTATCTTGTAAAACGGAACTATGACATAGTTTGGATATAGTAACGATTATACATGTATTTGTATTCGATTAATACGAATGTTATAACTGAAATCTTGTTCAAAATTTAATTGTTAATTAATTTAAATGCTATTGAAGTGTAAGCTGCATGTATAAAGTTAACCTCAAATAAATAGTTTTATATTCATGCTTAAATTATAAACAATGGAAATCGAATACACTTGATTAAATATAATTACTCTCTTATTATCGAAATTTATAAAGTGGAATACTTAAAGATAAATTTATATTTGAAAATTGTAATATTAAATAAACCATAATAGTTTTATTAAGTAATTTCTGGCCTAATTTTGTACACAAAAAGATACGTTTTCGATTAACTTACAGTTGTCTTCAGATAGATAAATCTACTTTAATCAAAAATATACTATTTTATTTACAGAATGAGGTCATAAATCAGCTTAAAATGAATTCTATCTTTATTTTCCAATTAAGAAATGTCAATATATTTCATTTTTATACAATTTTTTCCACCAAATTTAATTAACTTTTTAGTGTTTTTTCTCCAAAGTTCACACTGTATGGATCCTATATAGGCTACATGTTTAATTTTTATTGTATTTACAAAGGTTGTAGACTGCAAAATCTTCAAGTTTTTTTCCCCTTTCCAACATTAAATAATTTCTAACAGATGTGAATAAAGTTTGATAAATATGTTAAATTATTCATGTGCAGATGCAAGATTAATAATGCTATTTTTTTCTCCTCCGTCATAGGGGGAAAAAAGAAAAGAAAGTAAACTTTTTAATTTGCTGTGTAATTCAACAGTTTAAATAAATTTTAATGAAATTTAGTTAACTTTTTGTACATCATTTAAACCAAATTTTCAATTAAGGTAATTAAGTAATTAACTTTTTCATACATTATATAAATCTTTTCTCTTTTTTTTATAATTTTTATCTAACTACTTTTAAATTATTTACTTTAAAAGTGGAATATTCATTACTTTACAATTAATTAACGGTTAAAATTTAAATTAGATCATTAAAAAAAAAAGTTAAGGAATTACCAAGTTAATTCTTCTTTTCAATGTTTTTCCATTATTAATTTCTTTGGAGAACATTCTTTCCATTCAATTTATTCACAGAATTGCTTTATAAAGAAAGAAAAAAAAAAGACTTAACAGGTAGTACATATTAGTCGACACATATTATACAGTTTGAATGAATAAATCGCTGTATTCATTGTCAAATAGGCAAGTTGCCAGACTAAAGTAATACCTGATTTAACAAAGAACTTTTCTTCTTCAATACTGACGACTTTTTTGAATTTTTTTTCACAATAATTTCATTCATTCCTTCTTGAAATTTGGTGGTAGGAAGTCATAAATAACTCTTAAATCAAGTTATAACATCAGAATAAACTTTCGACACTTATCATTCTTCATTAAAAAAGTATATGAAAATTCAATTTATATCAAAATATAATTATAAAAATCACTAATTCATCTTTAATTAAACATCATTTTTAAGATGATTTCGAAATAATTCTTTGTCTCGTCTCTCGAGTTTCAACCGTTTTCTATAACATTTGCTTAAAAAAAATTGTTTTAGCTAACAATAATTTTTGAAATTGTTTATAAAAAAGTGAGAGAGAGAGAGGGGGGGGGAGGGGGGGAAGGGAAAAAAAAGAATTAAACTTTTAAAATTTTAAAGAAATAAAATGAATTTTTAAAACTTTAACTTGTTTCAAATCGTAAATAATAGAATTTTTAACTCGAAAGTTTTTATGTTATTAAGAAGTTTTTAAGTTAAAAAAATTTCTAATAAAATTTTTAATTATTGTATCACTTCAAATTCCACGTACGTTTCTTCACGTATTTTCTAAATTTTTCTTAAATTAAGTGCATTCTTTGTACAGTACCTCGTCATATTTTCTCTGTTCGATGAAAATTTTATATTACTATTTTTCCTGTTTATTTTAGATTTTCTATTAATTATACTTGATTTTAAATAAAATTATTATAGATTTTACCGTTTTAAATAAATTTTTGAAAGACTATAGCATGCCCAAAAGTCAGTTAACCGTATTTTATCTCGTGTGTTATATAAGGTAAAGGAATCAAGTTTAATGCAGTGTTTTTCTTTGAAGGAATCAATAAAAGAGTGTAAAAAAATGATTAAGTATTCAATTAATTTAGCAGGAATGGTTAACTCACTTTTGAACCACCGTATTTTTTATTTATCATCATCATCATCATCATCATAAAAATTCCTTTTAAAATTCGAATTACAGTCGACCCCCTATAACACTGTTGATTATTCCGTTTTATATGAATTCCATGTTGTATGAATCACTTAGATTTTATAAATACGTGTGCCNTAAAATTATTTTAGGATAGAAATCATTGATTACGTCTATAAAAAAAAAAGAAACTAAGCTTTATTAAATTGAATGAAAAGTTTTGTAACATCACAGAATGATTTTCTTTCTTACAAATTGATTTCTACATAATTAGGAAGAATATCGAGAGTCTAATGATTTGTAAAAAATAAAAATTCAATAAGTTCTTTATTATAGAAATGTGGATGAATTTAGTATCCCTCCAGGGTAGATATGGTTGCACGAGATAACAACATAATCAAGAATTAAAGTCGCGACTTTGATTATTAAGACAAGGAACCGTGTTACACGTTGCATTATTGAAGAATGAAATTAACTGTGAGAGTTTCTTCTTATTAATTGTGCATTAAATCGATCGAAAGTAACATCTGAAGGTCTTTTATTTATGTATATTTTGTATGGAAGTCAAAATTTCATACCCTTCAGAGTAATGGAACTGTTGAATTGTTTATGACAATGAGATGGATACACATTTATGGTTTTAGATATTTTACATGAATTATATAAATTTCTATTCATGTTTTCCTACACATAATTTGAAAAATATAATTTTTTTTTTAAACAATAAACTAGTAAAATTATAATTCCATTTAAAAATACACTTAAAATGTTTAATTTTATACTGTAAATAATTTTTTTTCTCACCATTTTCATTTCAAAATATTGTCATTTAAACTCATAACACAGACAATTTTTGAATAAAATCATTATAATTTTAGTTTGATGCCCCTTTTACACAGGTTTAAGTAATATAAATACTTATTACATGCTATTTACATGTAGAAAAATCTAGTTTCCTAGTTAATACTAAATTCTGGGTGTTAGATCGAGAGAGAAAGTATCGATTAATCATATATTTTTAAGCGTGTGTAATGTCTCTAAAAGCGTAAGACCCTAGGCCAATCCTAAGTTATTAATTATTTAATCTCTTATAATCTATTCTAATAATAGTGAATTCGAAATATTTTAAATCGGTAGAAACGATGAAAGCTTCAAACAATTGCCAAAATAAGACATTTAGAGAAGTTTCGATTATTATTGTTCCATTAAAATGCAGTCATTAATAAGTTATTTTTATAATTTTTTTTGTTTTAGTTTGCATTATTTATGGATAAAATGTTATTAAATTCGTCGATAATTTATTAATTATAATTAATATAACTTATATTATAATGCAGGGTCCTATTTAATAATTTATTACAGTAGGCTCTCGATTATCCTGCAACGTTGAAATCCTATACTCAGTAAATGAAAGAAGTAAATTTTGAAAGAAACGTGAAGAGAATAAGGCATACAACGTCCTGGCGTAATTATTTATAATATGCTAACATAAATTGAACACTACAGCAAAGTATACCATTCTTCATCCCTTTTCTTCTGGCGAATTGCAAAAGAGATGAGTCACAAAGCGATTTGTGGTGACTTAATGATTCATTGACAGGCATTTTTGGCATCGTGGTTAATCCATTTCCCGGTTAATGAAATCCTGAATAATCGAGAGTCTCTTATATAAAGATCTATTTCAAGTAGATGGCTTAATTATTAATTATTAATCGATTAAAATTCATTACTATAATATCCGAATAGTATTTAAAATCACTTTATAAACACATATATTTTAAAAATTGATAAATTAAATAATCATAAAAGCCATTTAATGCCAGATAAGTTACTGAATATTTCGCATTTATCACTTTAAAAAGTCGCATCTTTGATTATTTCATAATAAATAATATAAATGGTTTATCGCTTTTCTCATTTCCATTAAAAACATATAAATCTTTTAAAATATACAGTGTATTTTTAATGAATAAAATAAAATAGATATCATTAATATTATATTTTAAACCGATTTATGATAATATCGTGATTCTTGGATGCTGTATAGTAATTTAATCGTACGAAAGAGTTTATAAAATAAATGTATTATGCTTTAATAGTTTTATCATAAACCTTTAAGGCATAATTTTTCCATTATCCAAATAAGGATTTTCTCAACAAATTGATATTTTTGAACATTACATATGAAAGCTATTATGGTTGACTTAATATAGTTATAAAGTAGTAGTGAAATAATTCAATCAAACTTTTGATAAAAGATAGTACTTTAGCATTTAATAGAAGATAATTTTAAAAGTAAATAATGCTCGTATTCAAAATAATTTTTTGATAAATTTGACATTTAAATTCGTTTTAAACTGACTTGTANCAGTCTCATAATAGCAAAAAAAAGATAATTTTTATACATTAAAATACTAAGCACCATTTATTATATGAACGATTGGTAAAAATCGTTCATATAATAAATGGTGCTTAGTATTTTAATGTATAAAAATTATCTTTTTTTTGCTATTATGAGACTGTCATTTATAACTTTATGGCAGTAATAAAATATGTTTAATTTTTGATAATTTATGGCCGAGACGGTTAAGGTGTCAACCTACCACTCTGGAGGATCCGAGATCGAATCTGGACGAGTTTCTCCAAGAATTTTTATGGCAGATAAGTTTTGGATACTTAGGGCCCTTACCTCAAGCTGTCCCTATTGTGGGCCTAGTCAAATCCATGATGGATGTGATTAAAAATGCCTTCTTTGTACTCACAGGATGGAAAGAGTGAATGCTTACCCAGTTGTTCCCATTGTGGACCTAGTCAAACCCATGATGTATATGATTTAAAAAGTCCTCTTAGTGTTCACAGGATGGAAGGAGTGAATAAATAACTAAAAGTTAATAATTTACAGAAACAAAAAACTTGATAGATGCAGGAAGGTAATCTTGTATAAATGATTTATTTTCAACAAAAATTCAACTTTATACGTTTTGAAAAGATTTTTTTTAAATAAAAAAAGAATCTACATCCAAAATATTTGATACAAAGTTAATGCAATTGCAATAAATTTATTCAAATTTACAAATCAATCATGTATAAAATTACCTATTGTTAAATTATACACAGTGTATTCGATTACATTAAAATCAATAATATTCCAATGATTATTTTTATATCTTTAGAAGAAGAGTAAGTCTAACTATAATTTAATATTATAATAAATAAATTTTAAAATATATTAAAAGCAATTAACTTATATTTTTGAAAATACTAAAAATAAATCCTCATTTTAGTGTAATCAAAAGTTGGAAACGGTAATCAATCAGAAAAAAGGAAGCGGAGAATGTTTTCTACGGATCGATTTTTCGTGTATTTTCCGTAATGATTCTTTTCTCTTTTATGAAATTATCTTCATTCTTTAATCTTATTGTCGTACTTTCTATATTTAGTCATCTAAATTGAAAATAAATAAACTAAATTAACTTTTTTCAAAAATTTTTCAACTATATTATTACTTGGATTCATTAAAATCTTTTATTCTATTTAATTTCGTATAATTATTTTTTTATTATATAGAATATATATTCTTTAAAGAATGGAATTATTATATCATATTAGAAGTTCCTCTTATGTTCAAGAGTAAATAAAGTTTTCTTAACTAGAGTTATCGATCTATGTAGTATATTATTAGTTGTTACCGCCATAAATCAGGAGATAAATGTCTACATGGCTTATTCATTATCATCGACTTCACAGCGGAAACGGGATTCATTTGACAGATAGTGATTTATTGATCAAAGACGATGTTGTAGCTCTTGTTGAAGTAGTTTATTCGATCATACATCTACTAATGAAAGGATCTTTCCGTCCAGCTTCGTGTCAATGGGACATGCCTCCTTATAACGCTTTCAATACAAGACTCCAATTTGAATGGAGATATTTCTCATTCTAATTACGTTTAGAAGTTCAATTTTTTTTCTTTTCGGATATATATTACTTAAATAATTTAAATATGAAACTTTTCTCCGAATTATAGATGGGTATATGGACATATTCGACTAGATTTAAATCTACTGACAATCAGACAAGAACACTTGACATTATTCAATCTCTGAAGAATAAAACATTGACTGTAACTTCAAAACTTGTAAGCACGTACTTATTTTCGTATTATAAATTATTATATTATTGTTTATTTTATTTATTTATTTATACGAAAGTTTTATTTATAGAATGCTCCTTATATAACTAAGGTATATACTAATAATCCAAATATGCCATTTAAATACGAAGGTTATTGTGTTGATCTGTTGGATGCGATCGCATATGAATTAGGTTTCAATTATGTCATTAGAGAAGTAGCTGATAACAGTTATGGAAAGAGAGATCCATTAGGAGAATGGAATGGAATGATTAGAGAACTCGTAGATGGGGTACGATTATAATGACTTTATAAATTTTGCATTATGTAACATAAATTTTACCTTTATCTACGTTTTAATTAGAGAGCCGACTTGGCAATTGGAGATATTACTATCACGTATGAAAGAGAAGAAGCGGTAGACTTTACTATGCCTTTCATGAACTTAGGAATCGGAATTCTATTCAAGAAACCAACCAAAAAAATTCCGAAGCTATTTTCTTTTTTATCTCCGCTTTCCGTAGAAGTATGGCTATATATGGTGACGGCATTCCTGGGTGTTAGTCTATTCCTTTTCATTCTAGCAAGATTTAGCCCATACGAATGGGTTAATCCTCATCCCTGTAATCCTAATCCAGAAACATTAGAAAATCAATTTAATCTCCTTAACACTCTATGGTTCACCATCGGCTGTTTAATGCAACAAGGTTGCGACATAACTCCCAGGTAATTCGTTTGAAATTTTATTCATTTTTAAATAAGTAACCGCGATGTAACGCTAAAGTAAGTTATAAATATTAAAATTTGGAGTTATTTCTTTAATTATTTTTAAGTAATTTTTGTTTTTAGGATTGTAATAATGACATCAAAAATATTTGCATTATTCAAAAACAAACCGAATGCATGTCAAACATTTTTCAAAACTGTTAAACATTCATATATTGTAAACATCAATCATCCGCTTTAAAAAATACTTTTAAATATTTACGAGTTTGCCGAAAGAAAAATCTATACGATATTTGGAAAGACGAATGCTTTTGATCTAGAAAACTCGACATTTCGGAAACACCTTAATGAGTTAACGTATTTTTTAATATCAATTTTACATTTTAAAAAGTGTACTTCTAATAACTTTTATACTTTTTTTATAAGAAAGAATGCATTTTTATCAAATGCAATTTTTCTTTTTACAGAGCACTTTCTACCAGACTGGCTGCAGGTATGTGGTGGTTTTTCACCCTCATCATGGTTTCTTCTTATACAGCCAATCTAGCTGCATTTCTCACAGTAGAAAGATTAGGAGCCCCCATTGAAAACGTCGAAGACTTGGCTAAACAGAGTCACATTCAATACGGTTGTGTGCAGTCGGGTTCAACTCAAGCCTTTTTTAAGGTAGACAATAGTAAAATTTAAGTGTTTTTAAACTGATTTTTACAAGTGAATCCACAATTGTTTTCTTACAGTATTCTAATTATTCGACTTATAAACGAATGTGGACAGTAATGGAGTCGGCTCGACCTAGCGTATTCACTGAAGATAATGACAAAGGCGTTGAAAGGGTCCTGAAAGGGAATTATGCTTTCTTAATGGAATCAACTTCTATTGAATACAGAGTAGAACGGAATTGTGAATTAACTAAAATAGGTTCTAATTTAGATTCGAAAGGATACGGCATAGCTTTGCCAACGGGTAGGTTTCGAAATCATCAAATTCTTATAAAGTCTGGCTAGAGATGAATATTTTCTTTTTTTTATGAAATAACTTTAGTCTCGAATACTTAATTTTAATTTGATTTGGTGAATTCTTCTCTTTATCATTAGGTTCTCCATATCGGACGTTAATTTCCGATTCAATTTTGAAACTTCAAGAAAAAGGAGGATTGAGGATGTTAAAAGACAGATGGTGGAAATTAAAAGGAGGTGGAAGATGCAGAAAAGAAGAAAAATCCACTTCCCTTTCTGCAAGTGAATTGGACTTAGCCAATGTCGGAGGTGTATTTTTGGTATTGACGTGTGGCATGGCTATAGCTATTTTTATTGCAGCCATAGAGTTTTATTGGAAATCTAGAAAAATGCCGAAAGATCATAGGGTAATGTAAAATGTTTATTGTTATAACTTTTTATTGTTTTAGTAAGGAAGGTTTCTTTTAATTTTTCTTAAGATAGATTCTTTCTATTCCTATAAAAACTATTGTAATATGAAAGTTTAAGTATTTCAATTGGTATCNAAGCTAAATGGAAGTCTGGAACTTTTTAACTTGTGGATAATAAATTATCATGTAATATGTGGAATTATAACATCTGTGTACATATAACTGTTAATTTTCTAATGTATATCTTGATATTTTTATGTATTTTGACTTTAGCTGAAAAGGAAGGAGAGAAAATATAAAGCCGGGTATACACGTACTGCCAGGTTACCGGTACATATGTACCAGGCATAACACAGTTCCAAATACAGAAGCTGAAATAGTTTTAGACATTTCATTTAATTTACATAAATTGATTTTTTTTAAATTTTATGTCTTTAATTGTCGTAATTATACGTTAATAAATAACGCTTAAGTAACATAAATTTCTGTTCAAAATTTCATTTAGAATTAAAATAGTTTCGATAACTTTTCTCACTAATAATATTACATAATAAAATATATTTATATAAAAAAGATTTGCATAAGAAGTTGATTATTTATTGTAGAAAATCAAATTTCTTTCTCCGAAATGAAAATTTTAATTCAATACAATATAACTAAAACAGTGCAGTGTTAAAGTAGAACGTTTCGTGACCCTGTTTAGTCATTCCGTTTCCATTTTTCATTAGATTCCTGCATGCAAATGTTGTTCCATTGTTATCAGGAGAAAATATTCTTTTGTCAGAAAATATTACTTTTTTCTCTTACTAGCTTTTCTAACCTCAGAATCTTGTTTCTTTATTTATTTACTTTTTTAAGAATGTTTTTAACGTCGTTTCTTTCTTAACTTTAGTGAAATTTTTGTTCTAATCTCCTCCAGAACAATCACAACATTCTTAAGGACCACTTGCTGACATATAAATTGTAGTCTTTTTATTCATTGATTTGTTACTATTGTAAACATTCGATTTTAAAAATGCTTANAACTTTATAGAATTTTATTAAGTATATATTTGCTAAATTTAATTTAATGAGATAAAAGTTATAAGCATTAATTCTGGAGGAAATTTCGAAGATATAAACTCATTTCAAATTACGATTATGGAAATAGTTTTTAGAATTTCTTATGTAGGATTTGTGGAAATTATTAAAATGATTTTGATATTCCATTAGAATAAATATTTGAATTTAATCGTTTCTTTTGTATTTAATGAGAACAATTTCCAATTTTATCACGTCCAATTCATCATTCTTCACACGAAACACAACCAAGTAATATAAATGGAATAAAATAGTTCAATATTCTCCTTATATAACTAAGGTATATACTAATAATCCAAATATNTTTTAGTTTGCATTATTTATGGATAAAATGTTATTAAATTCGTCGATAATTTATTAATTATAATTAATATAACTTATATTATAATGCAGGGTCCTATTTAATAATTTATTACAGTAGGCTCTCGATTATCCTGCAACGTTGAAATCCTATACTCAGTAAATGAAAGAAGTAAATTTTGAAAGAAACGTGAAGAGAATAAGGCATACAACGTCCTGGCGTAATTATTTATAATATGCTAACATAAATTGAACACTACAGCAAAGTATACCATTCTTCATCCCTTTTCTTCTGGCGAATTGCAAAAGAGATGAGTCACAAAGCGATTTGTGGTGACTTAATGATTCATTGACAGGCATTTTTGGCATCGTGGTTAATCCATTTCCCGGTTAATGAAATCCTGAATAATCGAGAGTCTCTTATATAAAGATCTATTTCAAGTAGATGGCTTAATTATTAATTATTAATCGATTAAAATTCATTACTATAATATCCGAATAGTATTTAAAATCACTTTATAAACACATATATTTTAAAAATTGATAAATTAAATAATCATAAAAGCCATTTAATGCCAGATAAGTTACTGAATATTTCGCATTTATCACTTTAAAAAGTCGCATCTTTGATTATTTCATAATAAATAATATAAATGGTTTATCGCTTTTCTCATTTCCATTAAAAACATATAAATCTTTTAAAATATACAGTGTATTTTTAATGAATAAAATAAAATAGATATCATTAATATTATATTTTAAACCGATTTATGATAATATCGTGATTCTTGGATGCTGTATAGTAATTTAATCGTACGAAAGAGTTTATAAAATAAATGTATTATGCTTTAATAGTTTTATCATAAACCTTTAAGGCATAATTTTTCCATTATCCAAATAAGGATTTTCTCAACAAATTGATATTTTTGAACATTACATATGAAAGCTATTATGGTTGACTTAATATAGTTATAAAGTAGTAGTGAAATAATTCAATCAAACTTTTGATAAAAGATAGTACTTTAGCATTTAATAGAAGATAATTTTAAAAGTAAATAATGCTCGTATTCAAAATAATTTTTTGATAAATTTGACATTTAAATTCGTTTTAAACTGACTTGTAGTTTATTTAAAAATTTAAAATAATAAGCTATTTTCAGTCGTTTATTCAGAATATAATTACGAATTTTAGGATTAAATTATTTATTTATTTTCTATTTTCTTATTAAATATAGTAGTCTATAATATTCTTTTTCTCCTTTACGTGTAATACTCGTAAAATAAAAGAGAAAAATAGATGAAAGTTTACATCACTTATTTCAATACATTACTTTTTATGATAGAAAGTTTATGTAATATTATAAATAAAACACCTGTTTTAATCAACAGAAAGTAATATTTTGCATGATATACAAATGAAAACATTTCAGAAATATCCATTAAATGTTATATTGTAAACTGCCATATAGTTAATGAGACAGTAGAGAAAATATTTACATCTTTTATTTGATTAAATATTCAAATCTACTTGTTTCTTGGGAAAGTATGTAGAAAACTTAATAATTTATTATAATAAGATGTAAATTACTATTTGAAATCTCTTTATAAACTTATTCTTTTTCTATAGATTAAATAGAGAAAACAATTTTAGTACACAATTATAATAAAATATTATAAAAAAAAGCTATTTGACTGGCTAAGCAACTAACTTATAAGAAAGAAAATTACTTCATTCCACTTGAAAAATTTAGAATTAAAATTCCATTTAGGTTTTACGAATACGTTCTAAATTTGTTATTGGTTTAATACAATTTAAGTCTATTTAATAACCGAAAATAGTTAGATATGAAAAGAGATTTAAATAATCTTTAAAATCGCTGTTAAAAATATAATAGAATTATTCAGTTTATAGTATCGAAGAATTGTAAAGCTGATTATCTGTTTATTCAAAACATTAAAAATTTGTTATTAAATTTAAATAATATTCCTTCCTATTCTATTATTATCAATACATTTATTAAATTCAATTTTCGAAGGAATTACTAATCGGATTATTTTACTCTGATTAAAATCTATACTACTTATTGGAATATGACTAGTTCATCTATGATATGTTCTAAATCCCTGTTGGATATATAAATCCTAGTATATTAAAATAGTAACTATACGATTCATTAAATATTCCCTCTAGGTCTAGGAGAGGATTAAGAAATTGTTTTCGATGTTATCATGAAATCATAAATTCCGTTTTAATTATCTTTATATTTTTTTCATATATAAATAGGTTTTCTATTTCTATAATATTCTATAATTATTTCCCTTGTGTAATTATTTCAGTTTGCTTTCTTTTACGGTGAATTTATTCTTGTACTTGTTTAATTCTTTATTGTATTCTTCTACGATTGTTTTCATGTATTTGTTCTTATTTTAATAATTTTATCTTTATTTAATACAGGTTCAATACATCCTACTGTCTAGAAATTTCTTATATATTAAACAGAATTGCATACATATGTATGTAACTTTATATAATGTTGCACGCTGTTAAAAGATCTGGATGACTCCGTTGATGCTGTTTTTAATACCTAAAATCTGTAAAAATTCTGTAGGAATATTAGTTAATAAGAGCAATAGAAAAGCTGAAATACATTCTGGTTAAGAATATTTTTGGATAATTTCTCAATAAATTTCCAGAAAAGGCTTTGTGTGATAAATCTGTACTGTAGGGTGTATTGATCCTGTACTAGATAGGAATGATAAACAAATTAGAAGTAATATTATATTTAAAAAAATTATTATAATAGAAATAAGTTAAATGTTTAGTTTATATTTAAGTAAAAGTTATATTTTCTATAAAAATTTGATTATTACATTTATTTTTTAACATCTTCCATATACAATTTTACATTTAAAATTTCATTATAAAAACTATTATCTATAGAAATGGTATCATAATTTATTAAAAATGTTATGGTTTTATTGAAGAATTACTATATTAAATTACTGTTTTAATAAATTATAAATTTTAAAATAGAGAAATATTTGGAAAATTCAATCACTTAATGTCTTTTATTCCAAGAGTACTGCGTATCATTTCATATTTTGTAGCAAATTTTTCTTTCTTTTTATCATCTTTTACATTAAACTTCAGTTTCTTTTCGTCAATATTTTGCTAAGAAATTTATATTTTCTAGCGAATTTTGTTTAAGATTTCACAGTCTTATAAAAGAAATTCGCTTGGCAGGTAAATATAAAGAAAGTTATCATCATCTCTTTATTTTCAATTTAATAGCGAGATGTCAATCTCTTACTTAGAAATGACTTCAATAGGTTTCATAGCTGTAATTACTAACGTGATTTATTATTTAATAAATTTCATTAATGTACAATACGTAATTATTGCAGAGATTAATAGATATAGGTAGAATACTGAAAGAGATTTAAGATAAAACAGTTAAATTTAATTCTTCGATAATATATTTTGTATAAAAAGTATTTAAAAAAAACTAATTTTAATTATAAGAAAGAGCATTATTAAAATAGTATCATTTAATAAATATTGAATATTAAATTTTAATTTAAAAACTTTGCTTAATTCACGTGTAATGAGAGTAATTCGTAAAAGAAAAATATTTTAAATTCATTTACATAATTATTTTATTTTATTTTATTTTATTAATTTCAAATTATTTAATTGAATTAATTTAATATCCAATTTATTTGACTTTTACTTTTTATAGGTCCAAATTTGATTTACTTTTTTTAATTTTCTTTAATATTGTTTAAATTTGATTCTATTTTTATTCTTTAAGTTTAAAAACTTTTGAGACAATTAAATTTACTTAATTAAATATTCTATTCTTTATTTTAAACGAGATATTTTACATCAAACATTTTTATATATCATTGCAAATTATTAAAAAGTACGTATTTAAATGACAAAGAATATTTTATTTTTCTCCTCAATATTCCTTTTTTTTAACTTTTTAAATGTATATACATTATCTAGAATTTCTAAATTTAAAATGTGAATAATAATATTAAATTTCAAATTATAAATATTGATAAATTCCATTAATTATGGACTAACCTCAAGCGGTTTTAATAGAAGAAAACACGAAGTTATAAGGAATATTGCTTAAGGTAAATTCATTGTTAATAGAATTTATCAACATAAATTTGGCTCTATCTTGGTCTTTTCTAAACCATTAAATTTAGAGAAAATTATTTTATAATTATCATAATAAATAGTATTATTATTCTTTTAAAGATCTTTTATAATATATTTCATTATAACACAATGGTTAATTATTTATAATGTATTTAATATATTCTTTATTACAATTAAATTATTTTTAAGTTGAATGCTTTCTATATATTTCAAAAGTCTTATTATTTATATTATTTAAATTAATAATAATAATAAAAGAGAGAATGTAATTATTAATTTAAGCATCATTACTTATTAATATTTGCCAATTATTTTATTAAAATTGATATGTAAATTACAAATAATACAAATAAATACATAAAATGAAACATTAATATTTTATTAAGGTATATTTTTATTACAATTAAACCATACTTTAACTATAAGAAAAAGAAATAATGCAAACATTTGTAGGTTTTTTTAATTTATTAGCACTTTTTCTTTTTTTTAAATGAAAGAAACAAAGTATTCTTACAACACACGTACCCTTTTATTAAAGAAACAGAAATATGATGCAAAACTACAAGAAAAAAAAAAGAAAATTGAAAATTAATTGAAGGAACAGAATTCAAATATTCTGTAAACATCGTTAAGCAAGTAATTAAACTCACGCACAAGATAAGTTCACGAAAGGTCCATCAGTTTCCCATTAATGGAAGAGGCGTTAAAAGGCATACTGTATTGTGATGTACAGAATAGTTGAGAGCTCAGGAAGTCAAGATGAGAATCCCAAATGACTCGATTTCCTCCACATTCCGGAAAATACACTATACATCTTTTAACATTAGCAACAAAATGTGATCGTTTAATAATTTTATTATTAATAGAAATTGTTACCTTTATATCTACTCTTTTAACAAATTTACTTTTTTATTACTGATTAATTAAACTATATATAAACATTCTTAAATTCTATTAAATTATAACCATACATTTAATTAAATTCTTTAATTAAATAAGAGAAGAAATAATCATTACTGTATCTTAAACAATACACGTGTTAATGTTAAATATAATAAATTTTTATATAAATTTTTTAAAAATTTATATTGATTTTGCTTAATTAAAAAGTGTAGATATTTTGTTTGATTAAAATTAAAAATCGATCGCTTGATATTTTCTAATTTATCATTTTCATGATGAAGAGTTTGTTTACATAAATCAAATTTACTATTTTTTTCATAGTTAAAATGTTTACTAAAAATTTTTCTTTTTGAGTATGAAATCGTAAAGATTAAAGGAAATTTATCATAAATTTTTTTTATTTATAAATTAAAATTTTTAAATGATTTTAACAGTTTAAACGTATTTAACATTCATTATAATGGTATTTTTATGTCGAGTTTATCGTTTTTTTTATTGGAAATTTCTGTTGTTTATAGTGTTAATTTGATTTAATTTTGCTCAGATTTACTTACAAATTTACATTTTATTTTTAATATATTTTCTGATAATAAAATACCGGTGCCACATATGTTTAAACTATTAACATTTATGAATGCCTTGGCATTATTTTTGAGAAAATCTAAGCATTAAAGTTTAAAGAAATAAATAACACGCGAAAAAGAATTTAATACTATTTTTACATTCTAAGTAATAAAGATTCTTTTAGATAGATAAAATATATAGAAAGTTTTTTTTTTTATTATTTTTCAATATTTTTAGTCAAGATAAAAAGTAAAAATTTCCTATAAATTTCATTGCGGAATTCTTGAAGGTTGCTTACAAAACTCCACGGTTCTTCAGTTATCATTACTGAATAAATCAATTCTTTAAAATTAAAGTAATTAAGATGCAAAAGTTGTATTTCATTTAATCTACCAAAAACGATAGCTTTTGTATTTATTCTTTATAAGATAATTGTATCGTGAGCAACCGTAAGCAGTAAGTCATGAATGCGTAGGGCTAAAGTTGCAAGATATTTGGAGATAAAATCCGCGACAAAATGAGTTCTTTCTGAAAGATAGTGGACTCTTTTCAGTTCCAGGACATGCAATAGATGTGTATTTTTACTCTACCGGTGACAGAAATACATTTAAAATGTGAAAAAAAGCTACTTTCAGTTGGAAAATATCCGGGACAATCCTAGAAAATCGGGATATCTGGCAGTCTTACGTAGGGCCCGTTACTCACTATTAAAAAGGCCCTTCTAAGTATCTTTAGGCGAAAAGAATAATAATAATAATAATTGTACCTACTTTATTTATGATTTATAAAAATATTTAAAATAAAAACGACAAATTTAAAATTCTATTTTACTTTTTAGGAACCGTTATGTGTAGAATTTTGTCGAGAATTTAAATTCGTTGTTTCGTGCCAAACTTCTAAACCAGCTCCGAGAGATGACGAGGATCAACGTATTGACAACAGTCTTCGTTTCATGCCTCTCACCAGATACACGGTGTCTACATCTAAGGATACATTTTCCTGACAGGAGAAGAGCGAAGTTGTGCTGGAACCTTTAAAAAACGAAGGGATCAGCTATTATCATTATTCCCAAGATGACGTCTCCGATATATAAATTTAATAATTTATCTTATCGTGCTCGATTTTACAGCAAAGTTTACAATAGAAAAAAAAAATATTTATATACAAGAAAATGTTTTATTATTATTTTTTTTTTTTTACAAATTCTCTACACTTGTAAATTAGACTATAATTTTAAAAATAAAAGGATAAAATCAGTAATGTTCATCTTCTGTAATGAATTGAGAACATTTATTATACAGTGTATAATTTATTTATTAACACGAATTTTATTTAGTACTAGACGAGATTTTAATACTATATAAATGCCATAATCTAATCATTACATCATTTTTATAACTATTCCATTAAAGGAATAAAGTTTAATGTAGCCATTTGGGTTCACTATCTCATTTTCTTCTGTCTTAAAGCCTTTACTTAGAAAGATTTTATTACTGAATCATATTAAATGGACATTATATTCCTGTATTGTAATATTTTTTTTTCTGTTTATTTACTGTATTTAATCCAATTTTCAAAGAACTATCCATATTTTTATCTGCAATAAAATTTATAATAAGTTTCCTTCTAGATTTATTATTTAAATACTTCCATTTATCTCGTTTCTAGAGAGTTTCATTCATCTAATTTTCCTATATTTATATATAATCTCTTGTAATATATATTTTATTCAAATAACTAGCAGGTGGGCCCGGCGTTGCTCGGGCAAAAGTAACGATAACTAAGATAAAGATTATTACGTTACAGTAAACCATACCCGTTTTCACAGAATGCAAGAATTGTCCCCTTGTTTCCAGACTAATTAGAGAATTTTTAGATGGGTCTAAAAATATGTTCGATTTCCCGCAAAAACGAAAAAAACTGCATCTGCGTATTGCACGTCGCTTTCTCTTAACAATTCCATTGTTACGTAGCATTTCCATTGTTGACACTTCCATTGTTACTTAAAACTTCCATTGTTACTTAACACTTCCATTGTTACTTAGCACTTCCATTGTTACTTAACACTTCCATTGTTACTTAGCACTTCCATTGTTACTTAACACTTCCATTGTTACTTAGCACTTCCATTGTTACTTAACACTTCCATTGTTACTTAGCACTTCCATTGTTACTTAACACTTCCATTGTTACTTAGCACTTCCATTGTTACTTAACACTTCCATTGTTACTTAGCACTTCCATTGTTACTTAACACTTCCATTGTTACTTAGCACTTCCATTGTTACTTAACACTTCCATTGTTACTTAGCACTTCCATTGTTACTTAACACTTCCATTGTTACTTAGCACTTCCATTGTTACTTAACACTTCCATTGTTACTTAGCACTTCCATTGTTACTTAACACTTCCATTGTTACTTAGCACTTCCATTGTTACTTAACACTTCCATTGTTACTTAGCACTTCCATTGTTACTTAACACTTCCATTGTTACTTAGCACTTCCATTGTTACTTAACACTTCCATTGTTACTTAGCACTTCCATTGTTACTTAACACTTCCATTGTTGATGGAAGTGTTAAGCCTTAATCCTGTCCCTCTCCCCCGTGGGGAGGAATTTCGAAAAATCCCTTCTTAGTGTGCGTTCTCCTAACGTACCCTAACTGTGTACCAAATTTCAACTTTCAACTCTTAACCGTTTGGGCTCGTATCCATAATGTATATAGAAGTTTTAATCCTGTCTCTCTCCCCCCGGGGGGGAATTTTGAGAAATCCCTTCTTAGTGTGCGTTTCCGTGACGTACCCTATCTGTGTACCAAATTTCAACTTTCAATTCCTAACCGTTTGGGCTCTGCGCTTATTATTATTATTATTATCAACCCGTCTCGATTATATATTAGATTTATTGCTTGCAAACTTTATAAAAATTACTCACAATGAAATAAAATTCAATTCACAAATTGCTGTCGTTCAATTCTTCGAAAGCACGGTTAATTAACTTTTGGGCTATCCAGTAATAAAACAACTGTTAAATAAATAAAAATGCAAGGGAAGAATTTTGAATAATAATAATAATAATTAAAATAATTTTAATATATATATATTTTTTTTTTAATTTAAAATTTAATTTTTTATATAGTGTAAGGTAGAAGTGTTCTCAATCTACCATAGGACTATACATTACTACAATGCATTTTACACACATATACATCTTGATTAAATTCTATATTTGATTATTTTTAACGAGTTTCCGAATGGGAAGAATTCTGGGGGTGGGTCACTCTCTAAAAACATAATTAAATACGTTGTCAACGTAACCAAAGTTTCGTCCTTCTATTTTAATTACAAGTGGATGAAATTTGATTGTAAAGTTTGAAGACATTTCTCATTAAAATGTTAATAACTTTAAGGAACAAATAAAAGATTTCATTTACTTCGTGTAAAAAGCTCATTAATTTCTAACTTAACTTTCCTTTTTTTTGTGATATTTTATCAATTTTGGCTTTTCATATTTTATTTATCTTTTTATATAATAATACAGTCAATTGATTTATATCTTTACATTTATTCTTATAATTTATTTATTTTACTGTAAAGTAGTAAGCTAATTATCAATTTTATAAAATGCTACATGTAGAATGTCATTTTATAAGCAGTTCTTTAAAAATATTTTATAAACTGTATATATAGTATATAAGATATAATAAGGCTATACTGTATATTATGTAATGATTAATTTATTTTATTAATTAAGTAATTATACAGTAATTATTTTCAATAATATTTATAAACGATTTATTCTTAATTATCTAATATTTTTTATATTTATACTTTAATAAATTATTTTATAATTAACAGGTAAAAAATATAGTAAAAAATCTATATCAACAGAACGAAATTTCAAGTTATACTTTTGTGATATATCTTCGAATGAAACCATATTTATTGTAAATACGGATTTGATTTTCCTTTATTGTGTATATATTTTTTATCATAATAAACCATATTATTTTCCTTCAGATATAATTTTGTTTTAAATTTGAGATAAAAATCTATAAAACTCTTTCAAAGTTTTTCAATTATATTAATTTGATATAGATATTAAAGAGAGATAAAAGACTACTTAAAGGTTCAGGTTAGAAGGGAGAAGAGGAAAAACAGATTAAAACAAAAAAATGGAAGAACCAGAGATGATTTGATTAATCTTTTAAAAAATAAAATTAAAATTATTAAAGAAAATATTTATAACAGTCAGAATGTTGTATACATTAAGTTTATAATCAATTTAATAGTTAAAGATTAATAAAAATGGTTATTGATAAACATTCTCTGTAATGTTAAGCAGTGTCGTCGAGAGGTAGGAGCTAAGGATTTTTCCTGGATTCAGAGAAAATTAGAGAATCTTAGTGATCGTATTCTTATAAAATTAATATTATTTTATTTATTAATAATAAATTTTAAACAATTTCATTTCTTTTATAACATATTCATATACGTTAGAAATAAAAACTAACAAAAATTCTGTTATCAATTGAATGTATTAAGCATAAAAATTCTTTGAAAAGTTTTTCAGGTTCTTACTTTATATAAATGTATGAAATTTTTATTTTGAAAGTTTCTAATTTTTCTTTTATACACGGAGAAAAGTTGAACAATTATGAAAAAAAAAAGACATGAAAAATAACTATATTTCGCTTGCTACCATCTGACATTTTCAATTGAAACTCAATAAGAAAAAATACAATGAATGAAAAAAAAAAATGAAAGAGAGAGAGTTTTAAAAAAATCGAATTCGATGATAATCCTTCAAATTCGAGAAATAAAAAGATAAATCTTAGAAACGAACTCTTCATNTTCGAAAAATCCCTTCTTAGTGTGCGTTCTCCTAACGTACCCTAACTGTGTACCAAATTTCAACTTTCAACTCTTAACCGTTTGGGCTCGTATCCATAATGTATATAGAAGTTTTAATCCCGTCTCTCTCCCCCCGGGGGGGAATTTTGAGAAATCCCTTCTTAGTGTGCGTTTCCGTGACGTACCCTATCTGTGTACCAAATTTCAACTTTCAATTCCTAACCGTTTGGGCTCTGCGCTTATTATTATTATTATTATCAACCCGTCTCGATTATATATTAGATTTATTGCTTGCAAACTTTATAAAAATTACTCACAATGAAATAAAATTCAATTCACAAATTGCTGTCGTTCAATTCTTCGAAAGCACGGTTAATTAACTTTTGGGCTATCCAGTAATAAAACAACTGTTAAATAAATAAAAATGCAAGGGAAGAATTTTGAATAATAATAATAATAATAATTAAAATAATTTTAATATATATATATATATTTTAAATAAAAACGATTTTGTTGGTCATGCTTATGAGATTTAAGATGGGAGAGAATGGAATGGAAACACCTCACCTTATATATAACTACAATGTATTTATCATAATTAAATC